TCCCATAGCAATGATTTATCAGCAAATAGACTTTGAGATCTAGGTCCAGAGTTTAAAAACTTAGTACAGACAGGAAAGTATAAATACCTGCTGCTTTGAACTGAAGCTGAAGATCTTCCTATTCTGAATTTTATCCAGTGCTTTCTAAAGAGGCGTTTTTAAAATCCTAGTCTGGACAATAGATGAGGCTGCAGGGATGCAGAAAGCTCTGGCTTGTCTGTCTGTCTGTTTGCTGGGCTGATTGATGTGCTGTTTGCTTTTATGCTGAGAACCGTTTTGCTAATTTGTGCATTTCCTAAAACCTTCTCCCTGCTGTGACCCTTCCAGGGAGCTCTCATTGTACATGACATGGCTATTTCAGGGACCCTGAAATACTGTGTAAGGCGAAGTTACTGCCAGAGCGTCGCCCGCATATGGCACTGGCATTCTTGTGCAGAGTGTCTTTCATCTGATTTGTGAGAGAACACCAATTTTATTTCCAAATTAAAACCACACTTTAAATACTCTATCCTCTCACTTTAATGGATGAAGTTGACTTACATGACGCAGCAGGGACTGTACATCTCATTGTAATATCAAGGTATGGGTTTACAAGCATGTGATTCCAGGGGAGTTTTGAAAATGTTTGCATAGTACATGCTGCTGACCCTTTTTATGTATTTAGTACACGTTTGGGAGGTAGTGAAAGTCTTTGCTATCACACAGTAGTTAATAAGTCAGGCAGAGCTCCTGGTGACCGTCAAGTGCATGCAGGCACATACACTACCCAATTCACATAGGAAGCCTTATATACATCAGCAAATGTGGTGTAGTGAAGTAGGAGTCCTTGTATGCCTTAATCTTTTTATTTTCCAGAGTGATAAAACTCATCACTATCTGAATCTCAAACAAAATGTCTATCATTTTATCAGCAGATTTCTATTCATTGCCTTTATGCCATTACTGTCACAAAAGTGATAATGTCTCTTTAAAATCTCATGGTGGCTGTGGTTACCTGCACCCTGTGTTTATTTGGCTTCTCTTGTCACGGGCATGGGGCAGACTTGCTTAGTAGTGACCCTGTTGAACTTTCAAAGTTATTTTTCATGCTGGTGGCATAAAATCTTTATTCATATTTGGAGACAATCTTGAACATCTGTCTTAGTTCTTACAGCAACCCCTGCTGAAGCTACAGTGTGCATCTGACCTTGCTCTAATGTCTGGAATATGTATCCTGGAGTTGAAATAAATGTGATTTTGATATTTCTACATTTTTTTTTCATCATAAGGATAACCTCACTGGTAGCAAATGAAACCTTTCACACTTCTAGAATGAAAGTTAAAAGTAAATGCCTCTAATCCACTGTGAGCTGAATCCTAATGCCAGCACTTAGACGAAATACTCTGTGAAATCGATGGAAATTTTACTTCTGTTGGAGGATTAGCAGAGTCTTTCAAGCACAAGGTGAACACGGGGCAAAACTAGGGAGGAATCTTTTTTAGATAATTCATAGCTTCACTAAAGCACAGAAATAAAGCCTGAAAGTGAAATGGAAAATGAGAGTCGCTCAAAAAAACACGGTTCTTGATAATCCCGAGTTAACCTTTAACATTAAATAGTATTTATATAAGACATTATTAAGCTTAGGCATGCTCGTTATCAGTAGCAAGCAAATTGGGAGTATGGAAACCTCTGTCCTGAGATTTCAGGAGTGCTTTCAAAACGTGCCTACACCAAGTGTAGCTCTGCTGTTGTTGATCTCTGTTCTCTGCCTCATGGTAGATGAAGCCCAAGACTCTTGGCTTGGGCTCCCAGCCTTTTGGGAGTTTTTGGACAGTTTCTTCTGCAGACATTTTCCTCTCCATCTTTCCTAGCACAGAGGCTGCACACATACTGTGCACAAGGCATGGGGGTAGCCTGCCCCAAAAACATACTCTCCTTCATCCAGCAGCTCTATCAAAGTCAGCCACAGCATAGTTGTCTCTCAACTCTGCCAAGTTTCTTGTGTCCTTATTGAACAGTGAGGTATCGCAGTCAAGATAGGAACTTAGCAGAACTGGATGAATGGGTAGCTAGACTAGCTCCATGCTTTCATTTTAGGAAAGACTCTCTCTCAAAGATGGATCTCTCATGGGAGAATTAGAAAGTGCTATTTCACCTTCCCCTCCCTTCTGTCTCTTGAGAAAGCTGCTGAGACAAGACAGTACCTCAGTGCGCACCAGCCTCTGAGCCGACACCAGAGAGCCTCTTTGTTTTGCAGATATGAGGTGGCAGCAGGCGTTTCAATGGTTTTGTTTGTCTCCAAGGTGGAAAATTAATGTTTTCATTGTAGACTGTAGATTTCATACAAAATCTATTCCCTTCAGAGGACTTGGGCTGCAGCAGCATCCCTGATTAAGGCTTCATGTTAACTATCACTCAAGGATTTATTTGCCTAGCTCTTGAATACTATTTCTCACAGGAAGCAGATGTCATTTGTACTTTATTGGTCTGTGCTGGCTTCCACTTCAGTCTTTGCTTTACTGGAAGGTGTTGCTTCAGACCTGGAATATTCTGGCTGCCTGGGATATGTTATGCTTAACAGGGAGATGTGAGCTGAAATCTGTATCTGTAATTGGGAGGTGGAGAAGGCAAGGTGTTTACTGTGCAGTTCCCACCCTGGTGCAGGCCATGCAGAGCCAGTCTTTGCTCTCTGGAGGTATTTTTCCCTTAATTTTTTTTGATTGAACTTTTTGTTGCACTGTTTTTTTAATCTATCTGGCTCCGTTTCATGCAGTTGAAAGCATTGGCAGCACTAGCTGATACTGCTCTGAAAGCTGATGTTCTGAATGCTTTGTGAGTTTTGAATTGTGATGACTGAGGCTTTTAAGAAAATAGAAATATTGTGTAGGTTTTACTGTTTCCTTGTAGTGCCTAATGAGTTATCTCTCTAAGCTCTGTAGAGCAAGCAGAATTTTTCTTACTTTAAATGGTACAAGTTGATCTGTTTTAGCGTGGTTTTAAACTTGCACCTGGCATGTTATTCAAGCCAAAGAACCTATCTGGGACAGCAGAAAGTTAGAATAGTTTGGTGTTAAAAAGCAGCATTACCCTCCCTGGAAGCAGGGCTAAAGAGGGAGGTGAAACTGGGCTAGGTTTTGTGCAGAGGAGGGGCTGGTACAATAGATAAAAAGGAGCTATAACCAAAAGGTTGAAATTAAGAAATATTTCATATTATCCATGGCATTGTGTGTTAAAATATATTTATGCAACAACTGTGAAGGCAATGTCTCAGTAATATGCTAAACCTGAGCTTTGATTCAATCCATCAGAGAAGCAAGGCTCCAGAGCAGTTCCAGAGAGACGTAGAATAGGTATTAGGTATATAAGCAGGGTTGCAAGAAAGGACCTGTGCTCACCATGTGTAGGACCATTGCTCTGTCTTATACGGACATATCCCTGATCCGGTCAGCAGACTGGCCGAGGTCTCCATGCCCAACTTTCCCATGTGCTGATTGTCACCGAAGTTTGAACTTTGTCTTCCTTTAGCCTTTCTCCCTGGGTAGAAATGACAGCACTGCTTCAGAGAGCCCTTCTTTGGTATTTTCTCTTTCATTCTGCACCTGTGTCTCTTCTCACAGAGCTATTCCCTGAGCATCATAAGGAGCACCAGTGAAGAATTCATTTTGTTTTGTCAAGTTTCTGGTCTGACCCTTAATTTAGAGCAATCATTTCAGTCTACAATAAACTCTGTGTTCTCACATGCCGCAGTGAAAGAATTATGAGTAGTCCTTATCCACGTGCATTCAGGATGCTTTGGTAGCCCCATGGGACCAGTAGACTTCAGTGCCTGAAAACTTATGGAATGGGGTAAAGTCAGGAAGTTATTTTCTGTATAATAGTATATATGGGGTCTGCCTGTATGTAAAAGCTTTTACATGATTCACTGAGACCATTAGGAGTGGAAATGCATACCATCATTTCAGGCATAGAGCTCTTCAGAATGAACAGCTTTTTCCATCTCTCCCCAGGGAGCCCTGAGAGGCATCCAGCATGTAGCTGGGAAGAGACTGTTCATAAGTATTCCATCACAGCATCCAGGAACACAAAGCTTATTGTTGGGATGAGCCTGCAGCTCTGAATGATAAATAAGGCAGGGTGGTTAGATGAAAAGGACTTACTTCCCTTGCTAAGACAAAAGCATACTTATTTTTAACATGTATCAACCTGGACCTCTCATGAGTGTAGAGCATATGTTGATAGAAAGTCCAGAGCTAAACACAGTATTCTGTAAGCATGGTGAAGTAGTCAGGCAACAGGGCAGAATGAGAACAAAGATCTCTTTTGACTGAGTTAATTTTAGGCATATATTCTGTGCTTTCACCTGTGCTGTGCTTTTTGCCTCTCTCTGTTTCTGATATTCATTGATGCACCGGGATATATCCAGTCCAGGCTGCTTATTCCATATACCCTCTTGCATTTCGGTTCTCTGAAGCAAGCAGACCTTCTGGCTTTGCATAGTTGGGCTTGGAGGCTAACAAAAATGTGCTTTCTTAAGTGGTTTTGGCTTATTTGGTTTCTGAGGTCATGGACATAATGGAAGAACACCTGCTCTCATCTTGCTTCAGCACTTAATCCCTGTCCCAGACAAGCCTAGAAGGGCATGGCACAGGAGGTGAAGAATAATATAAAAAATGGCTCAATAACTTCTTCGAGCATCCGGAAAGGTTCATGGATAATGATTTTATTCTCCCTGGCTTTCTCATATCCACACCAAGAAATAAGAGAGAAAGGCACTGTTTCTTCAACTACTACATTCATTGCTTGACAGAATGAAAAATACATGAATAAACCAAGGTCTGTGCAAGCAATATTGAAAACACTGAAAGACAGTAGGTTTCTTGCATGCCTGATGCAAGCAGAGATTTCTGTTGGCAAATAGTGCTTTGGCTTAGACTTTGCAAGGCTTGTTACCAGTCTGTACACATCTACTTGACATTTTGCTTTATTTTTCCTTCTAACTGAACCTGTTTTCCTTCAGGGTGGCCAGACACAGTGCATCCGAGAAGTCTGCCCCATTCTCTCATGTCCCCAGCACCTCAGTCACATTCCTGCTGGACAGTGTTGCCCCAAATGCTTAGGTGAGTGGTGTTTTTCCTGGGAATTTTGTAATTGATAGGGTATGTTTCTGTGTAATAACTTTCATACCAGTATTTCACAACACAATTCTGGGAGACAGTATGCTCAGAGGAGTTTATATCTACAGGTACTCGGGGTCAGTGTGTAGGGTTGTGGTGGGTGGTTCTAAGTAAGCAGCCGCAGAAGACCATTTGAGTGTAGATCAGTTGGCTCGCTTAGGAACACAGAGATGCTTCCTGCCTTCATTACACATTGTAGAAAGGAGGTTGAGGAGGGAGGAAGTGTTCTGCTGGAGTTTGCCACAAGCAAAAGGCCTCACTCTCTCATGTTTTTATTGAAGTGTGCATTTGCATTCTTGGTTTTGAGGAAATGCAGGTCAGAGGAAACTTCTGGACTGAAACTGCATTCTTATAAGCTGTTGTCAGAGAGGCCAAGGACCAAGGGGTCTGCCTCTTAAGGTGGAATCACAGTTTCAGACATGAATATTTCCAATTGCATCTTTCCAACACATTTTAAAGGAGAAGTCAGAGGCCCCTATGAAGGGTTAGCTCTTCCAAGTCATGCCAAGGAAGGCAGTGACTTTTGAGAGTCCTCATTTTGCTCTTACCATGCCCACAGATCCCACGGGTTTGTGTCCCTCTATTTCATAAAGAAGGAGCACTTATATCCTACCAAGTAAATTTGCTTTAATTTTGTCTGTGAGGTTATAACTAGGTTTGGAAAAATTTCGAAGTTGATAACTCCCAGTTCTGTAACAGAAACTTGTTGTCATTTTGACCGTATCTTTACTCCTATCCAAAGTCTATTTCCAAGGGTAGGTTAGGGACATAAAGAGGTCTGGCCTTGGAGGCAGCACGCCACAGAGTTCCAGGTTCTTATAATAGTTAACATTTTTGGCTGATTGAAATGAACCTGAATTTATCTATTTATTTATCTATTTATTTGTTAATTGAGAAGTGCTACAGATAAATGCCAGCCTGGAACATTTAACTGCAGCACCAGAGAGTAATACAGTAGAGGACTGAAATGGAGAGGAGAGCAGTCCAAACACCAAACTTCTCTTTTGCCTGAGGACATTTTTCCTTTCCTTCTGTAAACTCACTTGTCCTCTCCATCCCATGCTTTTCCCAACTGAACCTTCCCCTCCTTGACCCAGGCATTCAAAACCCAGCTTTATTTTTGACTGCTTCATGGAGATTTTTCTACAGGTTCTTTTTTCCTCAGAAAAGTCTGTAATAGATAATGTCTATTCGCAAGGAAGTGCTGGAAGTTTTTTAGTGGAGGCAGAGCCAAGGGATGTGTAGCACACCACATGGCAGTTAGGAAAGAGAAATATTTTCAGGGATGCTGAGGCAAGGCTTTTAAAGTATCATGTGAAGGATTTCCCTGCAATTGAATTCCTGATACTCAGCATATATGACTTAGAAGAATGCAGTTGACTCTACTGGGACTTGAATTATTAGTTTAACTAGTGGTTGTGGGCCAGCAAAGCCAACCATTAAGCCAGTATCTTCATCACCACAACTTTTAGAAGTGGTAGCTCCTTTGTCAGTGGTTTTTTACCAACCGTTTGAACAGGGTTGGCCACCCAGAATTGAGCTGGGTGGTTTGCAAGGCATGGGAAGAGGGTGTGAGAAAGAGCTGGACTTCTCTTCACTTGCTGACATAAGTTATTCGATTGCAATCCTGGCCCCACATAAAGCAGTAGAGGTGTTGTTACAGGCAGGACTGTGGTCAGGGTTTGCCTGTAAGTTGTGCATGGTTGTAGAGCAGTTCCTTTTAGGGCTGCTGAGCATCCTCAGCTGATATTATATGTCAGTTCTGTAAGAGGAATCAAGCCTTTTCAGAAGGATGCACATTCAGTAAATGGAAGGCTGGTTATACAAGCATAGATTAGCCCAAGGTAGCTAATTTGTAAGAGAGATGTTCAAATTGTGTCTAACTGAAAAATAGCAATTATTTCTTAACTTTTGTTTAATAGTTATTTTAACATCAGATTTGTAAAAACAAGGCTAATACAGTCAATTTCGCTATGTGTTTATCCTTTGTTCACTTACATCTCAGAGGAAAAAGGAACCTGTTATGCTGTCCTACATTTATCAATAATTATTGAAAAGGGAAGGAATTGCAGAGTGCCAGCACATGGTGGTTTGAGAGCTAAAGTATTGGCCTAATACTTAGTGGCTTCTTGTATGCGCTTACAGTCATCATTCCCTATCTCGGAATCGATGCCTATTTGGTATCAGACCTCAGAAATGATAAGCCAGGAGACTGGCAGCCACTTTATTAAAGAGCTTACTAGTTGGCTTCCACCAAAAGTAAACAGGGGAAGGTATTAAAAAAAAGGAAGGTAAGTACAGTGTTTTTGTAAAGAGCTCACGTTTATGTATCATAACGATTGCTTGTTTAAAATAACCTACTAGGAAACAAGCTGAGGAACAGGAGAAGCTTGGAGGACCACAGTGTGTTGCAACTTGAATGTAAAAGTGCTTACAAGATTGCAGGACTTCAGGAAGGGTTTGATGTTGATGCCGTCTTCCGTGTATAGTGCTCTTAACCTTGCCTCAGTCTCCTGAAACACAAATGTTTTATGGGTTATAGAAATTAAATATCTTGTGTTGCCCTCATTCTGCTCATAAATGCTGCAAATGCCTGTATTTCTTGCAACCCTTGTGAACATGGTACGCTAAGCTATCTTAATGAGACCAGACAACACCTATGTTGGGGTTTTTGTGTCTTTGTCACTGAGTTGATTTAGTTTGGCTGCTGTGAACCCCTGAAGTAGATATGCTAAAACCAGTTAAGGCTGCTTTATTTGATAAGTTATTGCATTACATTAAAGACTGTTTAAACTAGTTTAAGTGTACCTACCCTAAGAGTTTGCAGGGCTTACTTTTTATTCCTTTAGCTGCACTGTGCACTTTATGATGAGAAGGAGAAGAAAGATTTTTCCAATATAAACATGCCATAAATCATATTTACATTCCCTCCCACAGCAGCATTTGTACAGATGAATGTGTGCTCGAAGAACAGTGAACTGTTAAAAGCACATTTATTTTTTTTTTCACACCAAAATGGAAACACAGAGCAAATGACACATTGCACATTAATTTGGTCTGGTGACAATAAGCCCTACTATTTTTGTTGACAATATGGCATCTTTTCAACCACATTCTGTTTCTATTACTGTTTATTTGTATTCAGGACAGAGGAAAGTGTTTGACCTCCCATTTGGAAGCTGTCTCTTTCACAGCAACGTGTATGATAATGGGTCTTCATTTACTTATGACAACTGCACAGTGTGTACATGCAAGGTAAGTCCTCAGTGCTTTGATATTGCATGCCGCTGGTCGTCTGGCTTGGCAGGAATTTGTAGGGCTGTGGATTTATAAGCCCTAATACTGTTCTTTGGCATCTTTTGTGGTCCCTGAGAATCTGATCTGAAGAGCATTGCAGTTGTGCTAGGAAAGTCTAAAAAGCTACTGATTGCCTCAGCTGAGACATGTTGCCTGATGCTGCATGCTCCAAAATGGAGTTGCTTCAGGTTATGTGATCCACTTCAAGTTTTCATTAGAGGAGAAGAGATGTTTCTAAATGGCAATTTACCATATCTTTGCTGAAGGACAGTGATTTTTTTTTCAGCTCCTTTAACATGAACTGTGCCCACTAGCACTTCTGCATCAAGGTAAAAAGCATGAAAGTGTCACCAAATCAGTAAGATTTTGCAGGCCAGCAGGAGAAGTTGGGTTTCAGCTTCACAGGCCACCAAAGGGCCCCTTAATCCAGTAAATCATTTTTATTTTCTCCAATCTGACCTATTCAAAGCATTTGGGCTGTAGTGAGGGTGGATGCATGACTGAGTGAGCAGAAATGTTAGGGTAAGGACACACAGGAGCACAAACATCGTGTGATGATTTCATGATTTCCTTTTGTCCTTTTACCTAGGATTCAACAGTGATATGTAGGAAGAGGTGCTTACTTCCTGGTGAATGCAATAAAAACAAAGACCACTGCTGCAAGGAGTGTGTCTCATATCTCTCTCCTGAGGAAGTGAGTGTGTGCAAGTTTGGCAACAAGATCTTCCAGGTAAATTTTCAGGTGTGGCTCAAGAATAGATGCCATTGTTAGAGCAGAGTTTTGCAGAGCTTTCCATCTGCAATTTTTCTTCTGAGTTTATGTAAATTCTGTTAATACACAGCAGTTAAAGATTAGTTCCTCCTCGGTGAGACATGTCTTCCTCTCTGTATGCAGAGATTCAAGTTGCTGTCTCATGACAGGTAATACATTTTTTGTAAGAAACAGCGGTGCTCTGCTTTTCCCCTGATATTTATGGAGCAGATACTCCGAGTGGTGTGTAGGCTTTAGCTGCTGAGCCGAAGAGTCTCTTCCATAGCTGAGCTAATAGGAGCTTTGCAAAGTTTGTCTTGGCTGAAAGTTATTCATCTTGACTTACTACATTTCAAGTCTCTGCTAAGGACAGTACCCCTGACATCTTATATTGGGATAGCCATAACTGTTACCCACTGCATTCTCACTCAGTGTTTTCAGAGCACTTCTTCTATTGATGAGATCCTATTAGGTTTTCCAAATGATGTGGCTTTTTTTACATGTCAGAAGAAGATTCTGTCACCTCATGAGCCATCTGTGAATTATGAAACTCTTGAATCAGATCAGATGTTAAATCTTTGTGAATACTTGGTTTGCTCAGCCAGAGTTACTTCCCAATTATTCCATCTTTTGTGTACCTAGCTAAAGTGTTTATTCTGGAAATTACATGTGAAGCTACTGTATGCTGAGACTATACACCATGTGATTGGCGCTTTCACACTGGTGCTATTGTGCTTCAGGAACACATGCCTTCTTCTTAGGCACCCAACTAAAATATCCTGCTTCTTGTGAAGATTTTATTATATTACCAAGTATTATATGGAGTGAGAAAAAATAACAAGACAGTCCACCAATTTCTGGCTTTGTGAGCAAAAAGGTAAATCCAGCATCGCTCTGTTGAGGTTAATGGTCTAACACAAGTAGAATGGGCACAGCGAATGTGTTTTTGCATGCCCATGTAAAACCAGCTGTGATATATTCTGATACCTCAGCAGATGCTTGGAGAGCAGTCATTAGTGGCCCACAAGAACATATGCTGCATCAGGAACATCAGGCAATGGTAGCATGGCCTGGAAACAAAAGACAGGAGAGAGCCAGCCTTTGACCAGGGATGCTGTGCTGAGTAAGTTAGGCTCCTTGGCATTTCTAAGTTATTCTGTTTTCCCCTCTGGTCAGAACATCATGTCGAGGTGGGCACATAATTGTTCACAGCTGCCTGGTTGGACTGCCTGTTCCTGTCAGATCTATCTTCACCCTTCCTTCACAGCAGCCCTGTAAACAGAAAACAGGCACATTTTGGCTCTAAGCGGGCTAGCACAAGACTGTAAGTGGGCGAGACAGAATGTTTTAGGAACCACATCTGGCAAATGCAACGCTGTGTATAGGGAACCAGGGCAGTTCCACAAGCAATCCTTTCCAAATAAGTGGAGACAAGATCATGAAGCATATTTTGCTCTGCACCTATGACTTTGAGAACTATACACAGGCTGTCTTACCTGCTCTGAATGTGAGAAATTCAGCACTGTATCTCTTCTAAGCATTCTCAGATGTTTAGCGGATCAAGTATCTGTGAAAGTGCTGTAAGTAATCTAAATTAGGATTCATTATTCGACCATTCCTGCCCTGAACCAAAATGATGCTGCATCTGGGAATAAATTTACTATATGCTGACATCTTAATCGAATGCTTTCACGTGCAACAACTTAAAGGCGTCACTCAACCCAGTGAATCAGGTTTTTCTCATTATGTGAGCTTAAATGAAAATTGGTGGTAGGTGTGATCACATCTCAGGCACACAGTGAAGAGAAAACAATGCAGATAAGCAGGACACTGATGAAAAAATGCAAATGTGATTTGGTTACCCTTGGAAAAAACAATTTCTGAACTAGAGGTCCAAAGAGAAGGAAAACCCTGCTGAATGTGAACTTTGTCTTGAATCTGACTGGTCATGGACAGACACCTCAAAATAATGTAGGCTAAACAATGACACAATGCCAAAAGGAAAAGTCATCCTTTCTTGTGCAATGATACATTGCTGAAATAGCTTCCTTTTGCCACCCCAGCTGATACTGTATCATGTTGCCTCTTGCAGGATGGAGAGATGTGGTCCTCTGTGAACTGCACCATCTGTGCTTGTGTAAAAGGCAAGACAGAGTGTCGCAAGAAGCAGTGCATTCCAGTCAGCAGCTGTCCTCATGTGAGTTTTTTAAGAGAACAGAGCTTTCTTCTCTTTCTCCACCACTGTCCTTTTCAGTGTTCCTTGGTAGTGTGTGCATGGCAGTGGGGTATGCAGATTAGAAAGAAGGGATCATCTGTCATATTCATTTAGACAGGCGTTCCAAAGTGTGCTACTGCTACCCTGAATATGGGCTTCCTGACTCTGTCCTTGTATTGAAGGCTCTGTGCTGCTTTTCTCCTCCTCTCATTAACTTCCTCTGTCCTGAGTATCTGGACTAGAACATCTCTTTCACATATATTCAATAGCTTCATAGGGTGGTGAGATGACTACGATAATATTTCAAGAGCGTTCCTGTTGTCAAGGCAGGACACAGGAGGTTGTTGCTCTCGCATTTCTCAATGCATATGAGGCTTAATACTTGGTTGAAAATGTAAATTAGGCAAAGCAAAGCATATTTCAGTCATGTGGTGCTGCTTTCTCTTAAGGTTGCAGCCTGAGTATTTTCTATTTGGAAGTCTGAAGTGAACCCAGAAAGTGGTGTAATTGTAACTTTACTGAATGGCTTCAAAAATTAACATTACTTGAAACCTTGAGCTCAGGACAGCCCTTATTTCTTGGATTTCTGTCACTGACAAATCATTCTGTTTTAATGGCCCAAGCTTTCAGAAGAGGGAGTGCTAAATAGCACCTCATGTAGGGGCAGACCTTTGAACAGAACTGCAGAACAGAGAGCCAAGTTGTTAGCATTACACCTTCTCAGTGTTTCCTTCTCCATCCTGGAAGCCAGTGGGGAAAATATGAGTCATAGACACCTAGGTATAAAATTTTCAATGACAAACTCTAGTTTGTCAAGTTTTACACGTGTAAACTTTTGAGAGTCAGAAGCAGTGGTAGGATAGAGAGCCTGTACCTTGGCTCTCCCTGTTCTGCTGTGACAGTGCTTGCATCCTCAGAAGAGGGGACATCCTTTTCCTGTCACTCACTGCAGAGGGCAGTTCTGTTAATGGACATCGTGTGAGATGCTGCATACATTGTAGGAAGTATGAGCAGATGCAGCTGCTCTTCTGGGAACCTGATGTGGCTCATGGCAATCAGGCCATTCACAGCATAAGCAAGAGGTGAGAGCCTGGACTCTTCAGGGCTTTTCAAATTCTTTGTTGGCTGAGAACCTGGCACACACTGAATCTCATTTACATTTTGCTTGTGCTGATGCATTTCAACCATTTAAGCTGCTTCTGGGATCAAATAAATAATACGGCTTAATATAGATCTAAAGTGAAATACACCACTTCAGCAGTACCCAGATACACATTTGAGCATTGAGGTGATCAGTTGAAGTGTCTTCTAAAATGAGCATAGTGGTGGGTCATAGTGGTCACCATCTGCAGTCCTGTGACAGCATAACTAAGTCGACCAGCACTGCTACATGATCTGCTTCAAGGCTAATGTGAAGTCCTAAACTGCTTTAGACCACTAAGTTGAGTCCTCAGACTCCTGCTCTCAGTTCCTTAGGGCAGAAAAGACCAGCTTTGTTACCCTGCAGCACTGTTCCCTCCAGTATCTAACCAGTCAGCCTGCTGCCTGCCTTAAAACGGAGCCTACAGCAAACTGCATGCAAACCCGTCCTCCTCCACAGGTACATTTCTGCTCTTCCAAGCTAAATTGGAAGGATAAGTAGGAGAAAGAATGTAAATTCTAGAGTGAGATTTATTTTCCTATTCCAAGTAATTTTAAAGCAAATAATGTATGCTAATGCATTTAAATCTTTTCATCTCTCCTCCACTCTCTTTGATGCGATACTCTGTCACAAATGTAGAAACATTAATTAAACACACCACATTATTCAAGATAAAGATATATTAGTAATATTGGAAGTCTGGATATCACGCACAGAGTTATGCTGCTGTCTCTGCAAACTTCAGGGGTGTGAACTCCATTTCTTCCCTCTCTTCACAACATTTCTGGCAGTAAGCAGTCTCTGCTGACTATTGAAGACTGCTGTGGAATAAAAGGCTGTTCAGTGTCCCTTAGAGTGTCAGGCTACATAAAGTTATCTCATTAAAACTGTGTTATGATACACACAACTGAGTGTGAAAGGATTGGAGATTCACAAGGAACCTATAATATTATTCCTTGACATAAAAGCTTTACCATGCTTCTTAATACTCCTTGCATGGTTTTGTGCAGGGTTTTTTGTGATGAAATATTGTTTATCATTGTAGATTTTGGCCAATTACTTCTCTAAAGGATGGGTTTCAAAGTGGTAATTCTGCTGAAATTTCCAGTACCTTGAAACCATTTGTATTATTCAGTGTGTTTGTGGTAGGCTGACGTATTTTTGAAGACTCTTCCTGCCATTTCTTTCATTTTACTCATAGGTTTAGGCACATTTTTATGTTTCTTTTATTCTTTTCTGGAACATTTAATCCTGTATCAGTAATTACAAGAAGGGTCTTCCTCAGCTTGTCATCTGCAGCGGAGGTAATACATCTGACAAATTCAATCCTTCCTGTCATATTTATAGTAAAACACTAGAACTCCTTGGGTTTCTAGTGAGCCTTGTGGCTTGTGGTTTCTGTTTCTTACTTTCTGACCATGGACTCCATGGATTCACTCCATAGATATTCCCTCTCTGTTACCTGGAGTGTCAGCCTGCAAGGTGCGGTACACACTGGCTTCCATCCAGGGGAAGCTATTAAGCATGTATCCAGTCCTGCTAAGTTAGTAGGCTCTCCGTATGGGCTTAAGCTTAAACACATGCTTAAATACTTTAAGGAAGGGAGTAATCTCAACACTTGTTAAGACTGTTTCAGAGACCCTTTAGACCTTTTCTTACGTAATTTGCTATTCACTTACCCTAGCCCAGCCCTAGCCTCTTTCTTGCCTTGTGCCAACTCCTTTCCCATTACTCATCCTAATCATTTTCCACCTTACCTCCTCTCCTTACACCTTTGCATTCCCCACTACCTCTGTAAGCCTGTGGTAATGGTGGTCGTGGACATGGTCTATTTTTGTACTGCTAGAGGAGAGCCTGGTGAGTTTTACAGCATCCAGCCTTTTCTGTGCTCCAAGGCTGTGCAAAAGTTAATAGAATTAAATCCATGGCATGTGAAGACATTTGCAGAGTTTGATTCTGTGGGTGAATTTTGAACCCGTGAACTCCAAGTCAATTGAAAATTTATTCAGAACACGTTCTCCCATCTCTAGCACAGACTGCATTTAATGTTAGACACATCTGTTATTATTACAAACAAAAAGTTGCTGTTTTTACTTGAGTGCCAAATGAGGCACAAAAAAACAACAGCTGTTGCTATTGCACAACCAAACAGCCCCCTTCCCCCTGCAATTAGTCTTGCCTTAAAAAAATAGAAAATAAAAACCTCAGACATAAAATTGAAAACCTCATAAAAAAAAAAAAAATGAAACATCCCAGAAAATAGACAGACTTAAATGTGGTCTGCTTATAAATATTCATAGGGAAAAATGGGATCACATCACTTAGCCCACTCCTAAGGGAACCCTCAATGCTAACGAACTCTTGCAGCACATGTTAGCAATAATGGGTTTCCTTATTCTACAAGACAAAAACAGGATCTCTGGCCAACATGGTGGCTCAAGTAACCAGCCTCAGCAGGCTGCCTTGGAGATTCCAATTTCACTTGAATTCTTGCCACTTCTAGCTCGGCTGATGATTTCAACTCTTTTATTGAAACAGAGAGGTGAGGCAGTGCAGTGTGTGGCATTCAGCTGCATGTCTTCCCTTCGTACAAATACGTGTTGCCAAACTTCCTGTTCCTCCTTTAACGGGTTTTGTCCTAGCAGGTGCTTTAAGATGCTTCTCCCGGTTGCAGCCTGGTCCTCAGCTGTTCTCTTTGCTATGGTGGTCACACAAACATCAAGGCATTGCCCACACTGCCAGAGAAACTCTGATCCAGCCTTTTTCTCAAGTCCAGACGTACCTCAAGTCTGTTCACATGCAGTTGCACATTCAAAGGCAAGCTTACACTGAACTTCTGTGCCCTGCAGATGATAAGCCCAGGTGTGCTCATCACCAAGCTCTCATTCATGCCATATGGGTACTTCAGGCGTGAGCAGGACAAAGCATGTTCTGCTCTGGTCTGCAGCAGATACTTGGAGTTCATTTTTTCCCATGCACACTGTCAAAGCTTAGCAGTCCTGTAGTCAGAAAGCAAGGCAGATAGCAATAGGGCCTGCTGCCTGTGCCCCCCTCCCTGCTTTCTGCATAGACCTTACTTGTAAGGTCTTAACTTCTTACTGCCACTTACTTCTTACCTGTTTTCACAAGCTTTTCTGCGCTGGTGAGTGGGCAGAATAGCACAGCTCTGTTTGCTTGCTCTTGTTGGCCATTCCTTGTTCACCTGCTTGGTGGGGAGCAGGAGGAGTGGTCCCACAGAGGAGATTTACTCTGTAGTCAAATACTGCTGGAGCAAAGGCTCGGTGCTGGGGGGAGCAGCACAGCTCCATATGCCTCTGCCTTCCCTGTATGGGAACGAGGGTGAGCTCCAATATCACTGTAAGTTCTGCTATAACCTATGCCAGTTTTTGCTTGGAAAAACACATCATTCAGCCTGAAATTTTCCAGGCTTGTCCTCTAGCTTGATGGTTAGCTTTAGGGAATTTCAATAAAATCAGATAGAACATCTTTTCATTTAATGAAGACTCAAAAGGAGGGTGAATGTATGTATGCAGAGGCTGCTTCTAACCAGCCTTGTATAAGACTCAATCATAAATAAAATTGACCTGGCAGAGTGCTAAATAAAGACTGAACCTTTTTTTTTCCATATTACTATGACTAGACCAAATTGTTGGCTTTTACATGGATGTGTGCCCCTTTACTTCACTGGGGAGATTGGTCCATGGCTGGTAATATGATTTGGTGGGAGGTACCACAAGATTAAGCCGTGAAAGAAATCTGACCAAATTAGATCTCTACCGGTGCCCTTTTCCTTTTCCTTTTCCTTTTCCTTTTCCTTTTCCTTTTCCTTTTCCTTTTCCTTTTCCTTTTCCTTTTCCTTTCATGGAGAAATGAATGATGTGGGGGGAATGTGGGAATGTGTGTGGAGCAGATTGCTTCTGTGTGGCTACTAAAAGGGTGTGCATAAGAAATACATATACTCTGGGAGGCGGGGGAAAAAGGTAGTGATCTTATTAACCCAATGACTAGTCTGCTTTAGATTATCTTGCATGAGTCCAAAATTCTCTCACACTCGCTCTAAAGAGAAAAGTGGTAACAGAGAACCCTTTTAGTATTTCGTTTCTTATAAGACTGCCAGGAAGCTCTTTGAATAGTTCTGTCTGTTTTTAGCACCTGATACTTGAATCTGTAACCAGGGCATTGAGTTCAAACACAACTTGAACTATTTTCAAAGGCTTATCCAGCCTTACAACATGACACAGTCATTGCTCCAAAACCTCTTTCATTAAATCAGCCTGTCTTTCTCCCAATTAGGGTAAAATCCTGAACAGGAAAGGATGCTGTCCCATTTGCACTGAAAGTAAGTTCTTTCTTCGCATTCTTTGAATTCTTTTTTATTCTTTCAGAGAAAATAAATACAGTAGAAGTATGTTTGCTTTTCTGCCTTCGTTTTAGAGGTGGCTAAAGGGCAGGTGATTATTGCTGGCAACAGATTTTGCCTCCTATAAATCTGTAACTTTAAGCTAAAATGCCTGGGTATTTTATTGTATTTTTTTCCAAATGACACCCTTTTGGTCAAATCTGAGGTGCTGCTTTTTTAAGGATATGGTTGGCCTGTCAAATTTGTAGGTAATAAAATAAGCAAATTAATAGAGCTGTAACTTTTAGGACTGGGTGCCTTTTATACTTGTATATAACAGCCCAGCTATGTGTATGTATAATCCAACACCTTTGCAGATGATTTGTGAGAGTGAAAGAAAGGTGTGCAGAAATCTGAGACAGTCTGGGGCAGCGGTAGAAAGTACAATAGAAAACTAACCTTGTGTTTGTATGATGTTTAGCCTCAACCATGACCTTTTTATCCCTTTTCACTTCAGGATGATCACCATATGATATGACTTGTGTTCTCTCCTAGTCAGCAAAGCACTTAGGCAAACACTTATTTTTAAGCGTGTCCTATTTAAGTCAACAGGGAGACGTGTCTTCACTGAAGTTAACAGAATACAATTATGTATTTCCTTCAGGACATGTTTAAGTACTTTTCCAAATAGGGACATACTGCTAAAATGGGGGTTTATGATTTATAGGAAGGCTTCTGAAAGAAGGAACAGGTTTTTAAGGAGAGTATTTCCTATTCTTTTGGCTAAAATCAGATTGGATTTGCTGATTAACTCAACTCTGGATGCTCTTGAATTGCATGAATTCCATATGCTAAATACCTGTTTTTCCACTCTACAGCTGAATTATGTTGAAATGTGTAACTTGTGATAAAATAAACTTAGCTTGCAAGTCTTCAGTATCAAAACAAAACTCAGTGCAAGTGGCAACCTCAGGAACACTTGAAATAATACTAAGCAGAGGGAGAAATGAAAGAGGATTCAACTGACCAGCAGCTGATTTCATGTTGGCTCAGTTTCAGGGGAGAAGAAATTCATATAGACCTCTGCTCGAACATGACATGTCATTAATGTCATGAATTTATTGATCTCTGTCTTGCCTCTCTCTGTTCTTATGTTTCAGTCTTATTTAACCTTTCTCATGTTCTTTTGTAACGTGAGAGTGGGAGGAAAATAATGGGGCCAGCCATTCCCTCACAACACTGAAGACCCTCTACTGTAAGGGGTTAAAAGGAAGACAGTGACTTCTTCCCTTGATAATATAAGGGAATGGTCATGGCTATAAGACATGTGAAATTAAGGGCAGACTGCTGTTGCTTGTCCCCCTGCCATGAAGATCTGTAAAGAGCTTGGCTTCGTCTTGCCAGTAAAGGTACCCTTCTAAGTACTAGCAGACTGTTAGGTCTCCCAGAAGCCTTCAGGATAACTAGCTGGCTGGACATGAGGCTGGGAGGCTGATTGCACTGTCCCACGGTAGCACGCTTCTCTGTTGCACATGAAACAGAGAGGTCCTCTTTTTGGAGAGGTATCTCACTAGGGACCTATTTAGTATTTGGAGGCAAGTTGATGCTGAGCTGATTCTAAGCTACTGTGATTAAAAAGCCATTCCCAGCTTTTATCAGATAATGTAATCAAAGAGCTTAAATACCCACTGTCGTACAGCGGTGGTGGCTACCACTAACTATTTTAACATCCATGTTTTAACAGTTGCCATTTGCAGGGAAATAATTCCACCTTTGTGCCGGAACTGCTGTAAATCTCATCAGAAGACAGGCAGAAGGCATAAGGATTTCAGTGATGATCACCATCTCAGATAATAATTAGAAACTTTGCTAATTCAGCCAGTTTCTGTTGAGATAAGATGTATATGCACAGCCCTTTCCCTCACCCACCCATTCATGTTGATCCTCTCTCCACATATTAACACGCCAAGCATTTCTGGCGGTCCAGATATTAATTTTCCAAAGTAAAAACAACATAGGGAGGTACAAGAACATACTGTACACAGGAGAGCTTTGAGTGCAGTTTAAATGCAGCCAATTTCTGTGAAGTGGGTAAAAAACAGTCGCGTTGTTAAAGCATACACTTTAAACTGAAAAAAAGAACCCTAAAAAATCAAAGGATTATTTTCAAAGCAGGTTGTTGCAGAGAAAAAGTACCTTGTCTCCTAAAGAGCTGGAGAGTCTCTTTTGTCTACTGTTGCCCAAGTTAACTATGGTTAGTTTTGGCATGTTGCTGTTTAAGCTCCACGGCTGGCGTACAGTTATCACTAATTAAACACAGTGGTCATACCAGTGGAAAATTCAACAGTTTAGTTTATGCTGCTGTAAAAATGTAATGAAATGTACTCTTTCGGGCTTGATTTAGAGAAATCACCACTGACGTCAATTCCATAAATTAGTAATCCTATGTTAGACCGAGGTCATTTTCATATTAAAAAAAGAAAACACTAAACCTGAGTTCAAATAACATGAACAGACTGCTCTCAACCCCAGACAAAGATGGGAATTTGCAGGGGAAGTTAAATCTTTGTTCTTGACAAAGAAGAATTGATAGATCTTGCTGGAATTACAGCATGCAGTACGAAAGCTTCCTTCTGCAACCATATAGATATATTTTACTCATGATCAATAATCTTAACACTGTCTTACCTAAGACATTGTGAGGCTTTATGGATGAAGTTCTCCAAGTGGACGGCAGTCATCTAAGTCTAGCAGTACATTGAAAATGTCATTTGTCACAAATTCTGCAGCTCTTTTACTTGACGAAATGACCAATGGAGCTAAACCAAACTCACTTGAATCCAGCCTTAGGAGTAAAAGTTTGGTCCTTTCACCTGGTCCTGCATCTTTTTAACGTGTTTTTATAGTAATAAATATTCTTCAAAGCAAAAAAAAAAAAAAAAAATCTCAACAAAACCAACAGTAAGGTGGGGTTATGCATTGTAGGTACCTGTGAGAGCAGGGAGTGGGACTAAAGGACAACATAGGTCTGTCCTAGTTCTTTTTCTTGTGTTACTTCCTTGCCCTGGAGATATCCATCAGCAAAAAGACTGCAATTGTTTATTCATCCTGGAATGCTGTTCATGATTTACCTTTTCAGCCCTTTTAGCTGTGATGGTGTACTGTATAAATATGTATTTTGACAAATTTGAATAGGTATTTTATTTATGAAATAGACCATAAAGACTCCTGTGGAGTTTTTGACACCACACCTTGTAATGTGTATTATATCAAGCTGCACTATGCAGCAGTTATGAGGAAAGTACTCTCTGGCTATGCATTTTTTACAGAAAAGCTAATGAAATTCTATTATGCGTGTTCTGTAGCTAGTTTTCAAAAGTTAATAATGTGTTCTGCTTGATTTAGGGCTTAATTCAGCACATGGGCTAATTGCATTCAAAGTTTCATTTTATTTTCAAAGAGCTGGGGATCTTTTTGAGTTATAGATGTGCAACCAGAACACCCTTAACTGGTAAACTTGTATTTTTTCCTCCCTCTCCTTACTTAGAAAGTGTCCAAACCAGTTTTAGTTATAATTTAAAGCATATTTTTCTTGGCCACTCTTAACTACCTACAAGCCCAGAAGAGTGTGACCAGACATCTGGACATCTTGGACTTCAATTGACTGCTCTGATCTCCTGAAAAAATAAAACAAGCCATTCCATGAGCACCAGAGCTAACAGAACCTGGTTTCCTATGGATTTGTGTCCCATTTCCTTTATATCCCAACAAATAATAAACCCAGCTAGAGACAATATATCCTGTGGCTGCTCTGGAGCTACAAGTGTGCTAATTGCCCAGCCAATATGCTTATGCTCTCCGGCTGGTCAGGATGTGTGTGCTGACTGTCTGTCTGGCCTGCACCATGCAGTATATATATCTCCTCTTTCTAGAAAGGCTAAATACCATCGGGGGGGGCAGGAGCGGCGTTGGGTAAAAGGCAGAAAGGTACTTTCTGGCAGTCACGTCTTTCAATAAGTGGTTCTTACCTTTACTGAGCATCCTATATATTAGAAATAAGTTGTCTTTCAGGCTTTTATCCCTTCGTGTTGGCCAAAACAGGTTGTGATTTCACACAGATTTTTGGGAAATGCTAAAATGTTCTTTTCCTTGCTGTTGGTTTTTTTTCAGCTTTCTTTTTTTTGTACAGATAAATGTGCTTTCCAAACTGGTCTGCTTTGCCCACAGTTACCTTCCCTGTTACATTTTCTAATGAAAGTTACTATTTCGTTTGAATTGGGTGCATGATTTGTAATGCAAGGAAAGCATGCCAGTAGTTCTACAGTATTCAGTTTAGCACCTAAATACTATTATTATTAGTTTGTAAGTAAGCTGCAAAGCCTTAGGGTGGGAGCTGAGCGCAACTGCATGAATCACAGATGTAGTTTACGATTGTCAAATGTAAAAGTGTGAAGTCCATATTTAGTTGCTTAAAAAACAAAAGTGAAAACTGCTGAGCTCCCAGAAGTGTTTATGAAAGCCAGGAGTTTGGAATAGTGATTTGGGAGCCTAAATGTAGGATTTCCAAAACAGGTTTAGAGACGTTTGCATCCAGCTCCCAATAATGTTTAATCGGAGCCGAGTGCCTAAGGTGCTTTGAAAATCACAGCCTTCTGAACATAGTTCTGAGGCCCTCCTTTGGAAAAATCTCTGTTATTCAGGGGCAGAGCGGGAAGGGGTATATTTGCCTTCATGTGCATGTGTAGATGGGCAAATGAAGTCATAAAAGAGCATGAATGCCAGGTTCAAAACAAGAAAGAGGCAATGGTTCTTCATGCATTTTGCCTAAGGTTGTTATGGCTGCTAAAAAGAGTTTTGGGTTCAAGGGGAGACTGAATAAGTTCACAGAAAGGAAGTCTATCAAAGGTTACTAAATAAAGAGAAGCCATGTCTAGCTCAGGAAGTCCCTAAGCTAAACATAGGTAGAGGCTGCAGAGTCTTAAGGGGAAGTATCATATGTAATTGCCCTTTTCTAACTCTGCCCTAGACAGATGATACAAGGAGTATCCACAGTAAGCTGGGAACAATTTCCTGTAGGGAAAAAAGGGAAGGATCTTCACTCATGACCCTGTGCCTTGTTAGCACAAGCTGCTAAAATTCATACTCCAGTTTTGGGGAACGTACCTTTGGTGATGAAGCAATATCTCTCCATCCATTATGTCCCAACAGAGGAGCAAGTCACACATGCTCCTAACTAGAGAATGGGTGCTTACAATAGATTCCAGAACCAGCCAAGCAGAAAGACTGGTTTGTTTCAGGAGGGGAAAAAAAAGAAAGAAAAAATAATAAGCAAACCATAAAACATGATGTGATTGAAACTCTCCCAAAAGGAAATAAACAGCAATCCAAAACCTAAAAATGGCAGGAACTCCTTTCATGTTGCTTGTCTTGTTACAGCTGGTATTTAAGGTTTATTTCTAGGCCAACCAATTCTTCTTCCTGGCAGTGCCTGAGTTATCACACACACTCTTGCAGAGTGTGGATTTTTTGTTTTCATTTTAAATTCACAATTTTAGCAAACCTTTCAAGAATGTTTTACACAGTGATATCAGAGAATCAATTATTCAGGCTGGTTTTAGGTAGATTTTCCCTCCTCCATTTCCTTGGTTATTAAAGAAAACAGCAAAATTTGGATCAGGCATTCAGCTCTCTGGTCCAAAACACATTCTTTTTTATTTTAACTGCACTGCATCAAGTTGACATATGACGTGACACGATGTAACATAACATAAACCGACATTACTCTGCATAGCACATTAGAAATTAAAAACAAATATTTCCTTTGGATCCCATTGGTACTATCAGTTTTACTTGCACATCTCTAAATTATGTTTGCTCCTCTCATGCCTTGCCTTTTAGCCCCTTGCTTAGGTGAAGAAGCAGCCTCCCTCTCCTGATAAGTTAGTTAATAACGTGTGTAACATGTTCTTGGCCTGTAGAAATGCAGACAAAAACCAGTTCTCTCCTGTGAAATCTTCAGTGATCTTAAGGCTGGGTTTTTTTGATGATAAGTTGTCATGTCTAAAGAAAAAATAAAGCCTGAAAAAATGAAATAAAATCTGAGCAGGTAATAAAATGTATCTTCATATTCATTGTACAGATAATTATTTGATATACGGAAATCAGAAACATGTGAGTATGATTTAGTAACTGTGAAGTCAGATGTTCTCCATATAAAATCTATGGATTCTTTTCCCATAGGTAAAAAAGATCAATTAATCTTTGTATGGACTTTGGAAACAGTTCTTTTTTTTCTCATTGGTATCAATGAGGAAAATGAGACTCATTTACTCATGGTTTAAAAGCACACTTCTATCTAAGTGCCTTGGTTTTCAGGCTCTGCTTAAAGTCCATTGGGCCTGATTTCCAGAGGTCTTGGTGAGATGTGGTTCATTTTGACTTCTAATGGAGTTGTCAACGTTATGTCAGTGAGAAATTGAAACTTTCGGTCCCTAGTTTGCAGGCATAGTGGAGAAGCATAATAATGATGCTGAGAATAGTTACTGGCTTAGCTAAAGAAGCATGCATGTGGCAAGTTAGGGGTGAAGTACAAATTTCCCAGGCATCAGCTCTGTGATGGTGCTGAGGGACAGTGATGGCAGTGAGGGACACTGAGGTGAGACTTCAGGAAGACCTAACTTGCAGTAAGGGCAGTCGAGCACTTCAGCTGGTTTCTGGAGGAGGCTGTGGAGTTGCTGTTACTACTGCTCTTTAAGAGCAGGTTGGATAAATGTGTGCCAGGAATAAACAGGTACAGGTGATTCTGCATTGCAGCTGGAGAAGGGAAAGGTAATTTCTCCAGGGGTCCCCTTCAGCCCCATTTTCTGTGTCTCCATGTAGGTGTCCTTGGATGCTCTTTAACTACAGCTAGAAAAATGTGCCTGAAGCATCACAACTTCTTTAGCACAGCATTCTGCCTAGGCTGAAAAACCATGATGAGGAATGTGTATTGCATAGTCACAGCTGCATTACACTGCACTGAAGGAATTCTCTGCCTCCTCTGTGTATCATCCATGTCTCCTTTTCTGTAGGTTTGAGTCTGCTATTAATGGGATTTTTATTTTTTTTCAGTGAACGAATTGTAATTTTTTTTGATAGATGCTGTTCACATTAGTGAGTCCAGTTTTGCTACTGCACAAAGTCCTCCCCCTAAAGCAGGCATCATCTTTCAAAAGCAGTCTCAGCCCATGGGTATCCAGTTGGCAATAGCAGTGTGCATTTCTCTGCCTTTTGAGACTCCTTCTTCCAGGAACAGCAGCAAGGAGATGTGGTTAGGACCTATTGTTATGCCAGAAGGATGCAATGCAAATAAATTTGCTGCTCTCTTTGATTGTGAGGCAGTTCAATCGTTGGGTGACTGCAGGGTAACTCAGCATTGTTGGCATGAGTGTGGAAATGTTCTGCTTTTAAGCTGTGGCTTCTCCAACATATGGATGCAAAACATCAATAAGAAATCTCCTGCTTTGCTTGATGCAAATGATTGGTAGACATACCAGCCCCTAAATAGGCATTGCATCATGTTAGTCACGTAATATGGACTTTTAGTTGGTAGCCTGGTGACAATAACTACTACAAGTCAGTCATGTATAAACAACACCTATGATAGCAGAATAAAGTTGCTGTTTCTACAGATAATGTGGGGAAAATACATAAATGAGCAATACAGTTTATAAATGTACATTTTTTATCAGTCTGCCTATATAAAATATGGACAGTACCAGGTCCTGGTGAAGTTGTCTGATGGCTTTTAATTTCACGGGATCATCCCTGCCTTACTGGGACATTAGAATTACCCTCAAAAATACACATGTGATATTTTGAATTCTGCTTCTATTAGTGGACTGGGCTTTGCTCCCACAATACAATTTAAGGGTGGGAGCTCATCCCAGGGGAATTTAACTGTCTGAGAGGAATTACTGTAGTCTTGGATACTTTTTTGTGCTTCCAGAGCTGGCTGCAAAGAGAAAGGCTCCTCCAGAGAGTAATTCCCCATGTATTAAAAGAGATGTCTAAAGCTGGTGAATGAAAGACTTTTTAGACATGTCTTTTCCTCTCTCAGTGAGAGGGAATCACTTAGACTAGACATTTCATGTCTGGAAAGCTGAAGGTTAGGTGGGAAGGCTCCCATCACGCATCTCCAGAGACGTATGGTCTCTGCAAACAAGGGCTGTGCCTGGTCTGATATCATGAGTATGGCTTGTATTTTCCAGAAATGAAATACACTAAAATATTTCACAGGCTTTGTAATAACCTAAACTGTTCAGGTGATACATGATGTTCAACGGGCAAATGTATAGGTTGGAAGATGTGTCCTTGGCTCCTAGCTACAGGTTAGCCTTCCTATGGTGCCCCAAGAATCAGTTGGCCTTTCGTTCCCACCCACTTTGGGAAAGACATCTACTAAAGCCATGAAGCCTCTCTTTTTCAAACATATATATTCTTAGTGGGCATCAGCCCAATGTGCCCTGTAGGACAGATAGATTAGGTCAGAGCAGCATCCTCTAAGTTCTTATCAACTGCTTTTCTCAGACTTGGATTGATCCTGATATGGCGCTTTTGTTTCTCACTCACCTGCAGAGCCTGGCGTTTGCACTGTATTTGGAGACCCTCACTACAACACTTTTGATGGACGGACATTTAACTTTCAGGGAACATGTCAGTACGTTTTGACGAAAGACTGCTCCTCCTCTGCCTCGCCCTTTCAGGTGCTGGTAAAAAACGATGCCCGGCGGACCCGTTCTTTCTCCTGGACAAAGTCAGTGGACCTTGTGTTGGGCAGAAGCACTATCAGCCTCCAGCAGCACCTCACAGTGAAGTGGAATGGGACCCGCATCTCCCTACCTTGCGAGACGCCACAGTTTCAGATCGATCTGGATGGTTATTTGTTGAAAGTGACAACCAAAGCAGGTAGGGCAAGTGTGTGTGTGTGTTTTCCCTGAAGAACTTCTCAAGTGCAATGTGAACAGCAGTCAGTAAAAAAAGCATGATACCAAAGCCAGTCTATCACTCCCCTTCTCAAATGGACATGGGAGAGAAAATATAACAAAAGGCTTGTGGCTTGAGATAAGGACAGGGAGAGATCGTTCACCTTCTTACATAGTGTTTGGGTTGGATGGGACCTTCAAAAGTCATCTAGTTCGACCCCCCTGCAATGACTAGGGATAAGATATGTTATCTCTGAGATGCTAACACCATCGCTGATGGGCTCAGCTTTGGCCAGAGGTGAGTCTGTCTTGGAGCTGGCTGGCATGAGCTCTATCATACATAGAGAAAGCTTCTAGCAGCTTCTTACAGAAGCCAGCCCTATAGCCCCCTCTGCTACCAAAACCTTGCCATGCAAACCCAATACACAGGGTCATTGATTGATGCTTAAAGGTGAGAGCAGAGAGGAGATCAGTTCTTACACATATCATTCATGGTTTTATCCAGTTGCAGCAACATAGCTTACAGTCTAAGTCAGCAATTATATAAAATCATTAGTTACTAATGGCTAGAATGAGTTTAAGTTGTCAAATTATGGGAATATTTCACTGTGGCTACCCAGCAAAATGGAGGCCCTTGTTGGAAAACCCTAGCTTAATTTGCTGTTCAGTGCCATCGTGTTGGGCTTGCTTTGTGCTCAAGTAAGAGTTTGTCTGCAAGGAATAGAGTCCAAAGCACCAGAAGCAAAGGGAAATCAGACGTTTCAGAGAATCTGGTACCTTATTTATGGAAACAGGGGAGGGAGATGCAGACTCTCAGGTCTTTTGAGTCCTAGAAAATGCATTAACTGTCAAAAAGCTGAACCAAAGAACTTACATTTGTTTTGATAAAACTATTCTGAAACTACAGTATCCTTGCATAGATGAATCCTGAGGGGAAGTTTAAAATGTTCTCATTAGCATGTGTTAGGTACTACCGTAGTCCTGAGAGATTTCACGCACACAGTGAAGTACTGTTTCAGTGAGAATACCATTTACTGTTAATTCAATTAAATGCCATGTGAAAGCAGTGAAACCAATCTTTCTTATGGAGTGATATGGTCACAGGCGTGACACATAGTCATACTCATTATCTAGCATCACTTTTTTTGCAAGGCGGGACACTAAGCACCCACTGTTGAGCTGAGAATTTAGACACCTGTTTATATAGCCCCTGGAAATGTAAGTCTACATAATGTGGATCCCAGCTCTGGGCTCATTCCTCAAAGTGGCAATGCAGATTTTTGTGGCTGTCTGTAAAATGCACACAAGTTGACCATTATTCACAACTTCTAATTAAAAGCATCTTGAGGGTTTCTCTTTGCAGCCAGCTGAACGCTATGAATTCTGGCTATGTGGAATTCATTAGCCAACCACAGGCCAAGGCAAGGTTTTCCACTGAAGATGAATGACAGCTAATCCTGCTGCTATTCCATTTGTCTCTGGTGCAAGCCTAATAAATGACTGTACACCACCTTGTCCATGTGTTGGCAGAGGGAGTGCAAACATGGCATATGACAACGCACCAAACAGTGTGTAATCCATGCAGATTATAGCCTAAATAATTCCTCCCCTTGGCAGAGCAGGATCAGGTTTCTCTTGCTGAATGCAGCACGATGGGCCAATTCCTCTTTTCCTTAGCATGTAAGGCCTGGAAAGCAGTAGAACAGCATGGCTCCATTCTGCTGGGAGAGGACAAGCAGCAGAGAGGAGGGATATGCTGAGTAGAACTGGTTTAAGGACAAACTTTTTGTTCCACAGGAAATTATGAGTGCTGGAGGGGGAAAAAATGGAGGATTTTCTGTTTCAGAACGAAATACAGATTTAAAACAATAGATATGCTTTCCCATGGTAGGGTGAGAAAAAGGATGAGGGGAGCAGAAGTAATGAAAAATAAACAAAACCATTGCACTACAAGCAAAATTCAAAGTAAAATTAGGCTGGGAAGTGCAGGGTCTGATGCTTACAGCTCAGCCAGCATTCCCACAGCTTTTGGTTTCCCTTTTGGAGAGCTGGGAGCTGAGCCCTGGATAAAACAGGGGAGCCCAGAGTTTCAGGAAGCCTTGTGGTCCCTGGCTACAGAGTGATCTGCATGCAGGGGTGTCCTGGAGTTGCATACCCTCAGAGTCCAGGTTTCCAGGCAGCCCACCAGGCGAGCTGGCAGGAAACTAGCTTGGAGCCTTGCCTGTGCTGTGTTGGAAGTTCACTGAATGTGATATGTCTCCCTGAAGCATTTCAGTTCTGTTGAATTGGCATTTTCCAGTGAAAACCTGTTTTGTTGCTGAATTCCTCACCAGCTGTAGCCCTGGATGCCATACAGCAGTGTTTCTGGCACCCTGCACTTGCAGGTACTTTGTCATGGGTATGCTTGGGTGGTGGTGTTTCTTGTGTAAATCTGTGTGCTAAAAAAATGAGAGAGCAGAGGTCAGAGGGCTGGTGTCACTTATCTGTCTCTCTAGTGCAGGAGCACTTTTTGTTGTTTCTGTGTTGATCTTTTTCCCAAAGCTTCTTTGCTGAGGTTTTCTGTACTGCTTTGGCACTAAATCCTTAGGGACAAGTGGTCTGCCAGTTCTTGAGGATGCCTTTACCATGAAAAATCAGACAGAACAATTGATGGGAGTTCCCAGCATGGGGAACTCAGTGTGCGATGTGCATAAATCCAGAAGGATTTTTTTTTTAAATGCAGTAGAGCACATAGTGTGCCAAGTTAAGAAATCAAGTAACAAGTTGGTTAAGCATCCGTCAAAGAAAGGGGAAAATTGGAAAACCTTAAAATGTAACTCAGAGAATATCCCTTTTCTGCATATCCCCAGATGGGACAGATGCTGCATCTTTTGGCTTCACATCTCTTGCATTCTTGTCCAAGTGAATGGGAAACTCATCCATTTTGGGGTGGGGGGGAGGAAAGGATTTATAAGCACGAATAAACTCTTCCAAACAATTTCTTACTACCAACGAGACCATTTCAAACATTGCTCTGTAGCGTAGTCCTGTCTGTCACAGCTCTTGCTGGTTTACAGAAACCAACTGAGCTTTCTGCTTGTGACCAAACAAAAAGGCACACTCTGCACAGTGCCATCAGGGTCCATCAAAATTATCATGCATGTAGGAGTAAATACCCTTCCTCATTACCCCAAAAGGGACAGAAACCTTCAGGCTGTTGATCACAGCTAGAAATTGTCCTGCGATCTAAGCAATTACAGTAGAATATACAATACCCAGCTAGAGGAAAGGGCATCCTTTTGTCATAGTTCAACTATGAATCTCTTAAATTCCGTAATCAAAGCAGGATTCTCTAATCTAAAAATGTGTATTTTTTGTATGCTGAGATGAAAAGTAATGAATTTGTTTTATTCTTATTGGCATACTGATTGCTCAGAGAGCAACATCTAACACGTAGATTAACAATTCTCACAGAGTACACATGGATCTTCAGGATAATTTTATAGTTAACCTTTTATAATGAAGGTGATGGGTGTCACTGAAAGTAAGTCTTGGCTTGAGGAAAAAGAGAAGTTGTAAAAGGAAATTTAAGATATAATCATTAGCTGGTCTTAAAGTCAGCAGCTTTTGAGGGAGCTCAGTTGGGGAAGAAGTTGAACACTGCATTAAAAACTGGAGTTATTTTCTGAAGAGAACTGAGAATTTGGATATTGATGCTTCAAGCTTTGTGAAAGTTCATATGATTCTCAAGTCTGAAGAAATCTTAGTTTATAAGTTAATGGAAGCTTTTTATAAATGCCAGGACAACAGTATTAATCTGGTGTCTGCAAATCAAGCTGTGTTTTGTTTTGTTCAGTGTTGTCAGAAGCAAAGACAGCTGGAGTTTGAATTTGTCCAGCAATGATAATGTATGAAGCAGCTTAAAAGGCAGCTTTCCTCCTTGCCACTGTGCTGGCCTTGTTAACAACTGTAGTCTTGCACAATTTCTCAGTTGTCTGGGTGCAAAGTGCCTTTGGAAGAGGACACAGTGGCTCTAACGGTTGGACTTGATGATCTTAAAGGTCTCTTTCAACCTAAATGAGTCTATCAAAGCTTGGTTTATTAGATAAATTGAAGCTGCTTTCAGTAATAGTCAGCTCAGGACATATTTATCCTACGGTTGCTAACCTATAGTGATAAGATGCAATAGACTATAGTGATAGTTGGTGCAGAATTATCTGCACATCCTTGCTGGGTACGTTTTTCCCCAAACCCTTGGTGGCATGGTGTAAACCATACAAGCACCAAGACAGGATGAACCAATGGCCAAGAACCCCTTCTATAGCCGTAATTGCCATTTGAGCCTCATCCTGTTACTCTGCAGTGTGGATAAGAATTGTCATAGGAGGCAATGGGATGTGTTGCTAAAGGAAGCATTCCAGCTTTGAACTGAGTTACTGGTATGATAATTACTTACATGAGGATAGGACAGGATCTGGATCACATAGTGACAAGCATTGATTTACAAGAGAAAAAGGTGGTGCTAAGCCAGCCCACACAGCAAATGTAGAAAGCTGGAGCAAAGCCCTGGTCCTGCAACACAGAGCAATGCTGTTTGGTATTCTTGGTCAGGGAGGGAGAAGAGGGTAAAATCTGTTTTATCCTCTTTAAAAGCAGATTCTTGTGTTTATCCTTAACTAATCACTGTGCACAGGTACTTAAGGGAATAAATTATCAGCAAAATGATTTGTTATCTTCAGGTGCAGCGTTACTGCAGAGATGTGAAGTAGCATTCATCAGACATTGGAAATAATTAAAAGAAAGTCTGGTTTGGGTAGAAGTTAAGCAGCAGTGATTCTTGGCGGTGTTTTTGTTCCATATGATACTAAAATTGCTTTCCCTTATGAGATACGTATTTACTCCTTTGAATTGACAGTCACCCAAGTAAATACTAGAAGTTTAGCTTCCACCTGATGTCTGGGCTCTCTCAATTATAGCTGGGAACAGAGAGGCATTTAGAAGTTAGTTTATTCCCTTTGTATTAGACACCCTGAGCTGCCTGTTTCTCTCCATCAAAGACAGTGCTCAGACAGCTGACTTGAACTAGATACCTAGCTTTTAGGTGAGTACAGACAGATAAAATGTGTTTCACCTGCAGAAGCCAATTTTTGAGGTACTAGAAGTGCAAAAGCCTACTGTAAAACAGACTAGCAGAGTGCTTGCATCTCACCCACCAGGTGAAGGTTAGAGATTTACCATCATTCCTTAGTGTTGCTGACTGAGGAAGACAGCTTCAAAAAAGACACCTTTTGAAGAAACAGTTTGAATTGAGTTCAGAATGCTTCTTACTACAGTTTTATCCTCTGACATATCGCTGTGGTCCACTTTTTAACTCTCTTCACCCACACAAAATAAGGTACTTGTATTCCAGCCCTAATCATTCTATGATTCTGTGATTCTGTGTTCACTCAAATGAGCAATCAGTGTCAGCTTTGCAGGCAAGAAAAGGGTGTTTTCCATAAGCTGATCACTGGTGGAGTCTCATGGGACATGGGCACCTTTGTATGTCCGTGTCCTGTGCAGTGGGTGACAATGGCTGAAATTCTGTGTCTCCTGCGAATTCAGGTAGAAATTTGTCCTAGCAAATTCCATTTGCAGAATTTTGCAAGAGCCCTCTTTCCACGTTGAGAGGAGTTCTGCCTTGGCTCCACATTTTTTTAGGATAACCCCACTCATTAGCAAGGAGGAACAAAAATAAACAGAGGCAGGCATGAGAGTATTGTAATTGAATGTGATTTAAGAAACACTACAGTTGCCAGAGGCACTTACTGGGAGGTATATAGAAACCTAACAACATTATCAGAATGAAGCCAATGGCTTTGTTTAGGTTCCCATGAACACTGTTTCACAAACACAAGGCAGTGTTTTTTATCCTCAATTTCTTCTTATTTTCTTTTGTGTGTGTGTGTGTGTGCATGTTTTTTGTCTCATCCCTTTATTAGGCTTGGAAATCTCATGGGATGGAGACAGCTTTGTGGAAGTCATGGCTGCGCCTCATCTGAAGGGCAAACTCTGTGGTCTGTGTGGCAACTACAATGGGCACAAGCGAGATGACCTGATCGGGGGCGATGGGAACTTTAAGTTTGATGTGGATGACTTTGCCGAGTCCTGGCGTGTGGAGTCCAATGAGTTCTGCAGCCGCCCGCAGAGAAAACCTCTGCCCGAGCTCTGTCATGGGACGGTTAGGGTGAAACTCCGAGCCCATCGGGAATGCCAGAAACTCAAAGCGTGGGAGTTCCAGAGCTGTCATTCAACGGTGGATTATACCACATTTTACCGGTAAGCGTGGCTTGCTGTGGAAGGAGATGTGAAGTTACTGTGCGAGGAGCAAAACCACAGCTGGCCCCCTTTCAGTAGCATTTGAGCACATAATTTGAGCTGCTTTTGCTGTGAATTAATATACAGGCCTAGAGTTATGATGAGCTTTTCTGAGTCAGGAATCAAGAGAAGATGACCCTGAGCTAATAAAGACCTGAGCAGTCAGTAGTGAGAAGGGCAGGCAGGCTTGTGGTCACCTAGAGAAAAAGTACTTTTGGAGACTGAGTAGAGAAGAGGAAGAGACTTCAAGTCATTTCAAAGTCAGCTGTGAAGTTGAGGCTGACATAAATTGCTATTGCTTGTGGTCCAGAGAAGTGTGTCTTCCCAGAAGCATTTTTTAAATGACTTCATTAAAGCAGGGATATGAAATATTAGTAGTGCCTGTTGGATGGTGTAGTTTGTGAGCTGGGAATTTGCAAGGAGAGAGTTAACAGAAAGTTCAGTGCGTGCCCATCCTGCCCTGGGAGCAAAGGAAGACAGACGAGGATCTAGAAGCCTTCTCTGAGTGAATTATTCAAGGTTTTTATTTTTTAAATGCTTCCAGTCTAAACCACAGAGCCATCATTTCTGTTCTTTAATTGGCATGAGTTTATTTGCCCCTCACTCAGTAAATAAAATTGGCTTTTCTTCTGATTGTCTGACATGAAAAGATAAAAGTAAAGCCAAGTCACATTTGTATGGTGGCGGATGGAGCTGCCTGATCTCTGCGCTCCCAGCTTTCCCCACTTATGCACATCTGTTGAACTGTTGGGCTTATTAGGAAAAGCTTTCTAAAATGACTCCATTTCCCTTATGAATTGCCTTTCCTCTTCTTTTATAATGAGACAGAAAGACTTTTATCTAGCCCAGCAGAATGTCTGGGACTGGGAAATGCTAGAAGACACACAGCTTGGCTTGTAGTCTGTGTGCTTCTGCATTTAGTTTGCTATAGTGTATCCCTGTGCTAGCAGCCTGGCAAATAGTGAAGATTAGATTGTGTGCAGGTTATAATACTTTATCTTTTCCAATGGCTGGAGGCACAACAGAGAGCACTAGAGATGCTAACACACACACAGAAGGTCTGTTGAATACATTTCAGCAACATTCCCATCTCACTTCCATCGTCCTCTAAAGGTAAGTGATGACAATGCAAATGGAAAACAGACACAGAGAGATTTGTTTCATTTTGCAGTGGATTTTTTGTCCCTTTTTAAAAGTAGCTAGTGATTAATTTAGTGCAATACACTTCCTGACACCACAGTGGAAAATGATTTATATTTTGGCTACAGCAGCCAAAAAAAAAATCTCTACATGCTTGCATGGAGCATTTCTGTTCCTTAAGAATAATGTATTCTATTTGTTTTGGAAAGACAATGAAATCAAGCAAATATTTAATTTGATTATATCCTTTTGTAGAAAAGTCTGTTTTTCCCTAAGGAAATTTTATGTTGAAATGACCATCATATTCTGTCAGAAGTAGCTGTTAGCTTGCTTCCATGTAGATGTTGCTAGCTGTTAGACTAGATTCCAATACAGGAATCAAAGATAAAATATAAATTAAAATTAAATAATGGTATTTAGTAGAATGGTACTTCTTGTTAGAAACTGACAAAGTTGGAGCAGGCAATTTATCCAATGACCATGGCCATTTCTCATACAAGGAAATTCCCAAAAGGGGGTCATGATTATGGGACAAGCATTCAAAGGAAGTTCTGGGAATCTTTCTAACATAAATCTTTGCCTATACAAACACACGTGCATTTGTGTATATTAGTATAAATAAGTGTGCTTAAGAGATTTGCATTTTTTGTGTATTATTTTTAAAGAACTCATTGCTGCTGATGTGGTTTTGCAGAAAATTTAAATGACCATTAAAAGAAATTTAAACTGACATTTACAGCTTTTCACTGGGGTGTTTCAAAAAAGCATCTTCAGTCAATGTTTTCTAATTTCAGGCTGGGTGTAACTAAATAGTTTTCCAATTCTGCTTTACTAACTATGGACAAGCTTCTAGCAGTAAGAGAAGTGATGAGGCAGAATGGTAGGGTCAGGTTCTTTTGGTTTATTATCCATCTCCTCTTTGAATGAATAGCTTCAAATGGAAATAGTGTTTCCATTTGAAATACTGCATTTTCAAGAGTTAACCTTTCTTGGTCATTCTTGCCTATATTATCAACATTGCCTCATTTTCATTATGCTGCTCTGGTAGTGACCTGCTGTTAATCAGAATTCTCAGAAATAGAAATAAACTCAGCAGGAACTTTATGAATCAGGGTGTGTTTTCTCCAAATACCAGTGAAAAAAAGGCAGTGACCAATGCATTGCAAACATTTGTCTGACCCTGTGTTACTGAGGAGGTTTCTGTGAAGAGGTCTCAGATTGATTTTGTCTCCTTCTCTTTGCAGCTGCAGTTTCTCTTTTTGTTAGCCATCCAAAAAACATACACAGCAAGATTGTCATGATTGTTAGGTGAAAAGGATATGGTTAATGTTTTAAAAGAGTAAAGATCTAGCTGCATTGTTGTGAGGTTAAAAACGGTTAACTCCTGAGCTTGACTTTGATAGAACTGTGACACCTTAGGAGAAATGGTTGTGCACCTTGCCTTTAACCCTTCTTTTTTGACATTGTGACCTTGGTGACGTGTTTCTCTGCAAAGCATATGGTAGAAGAAAGCACCAAGAAACTATTTTGGAATAGTCCTGATTGCAAACTAACAATTTTAGCATCTCCTTTTATACCACTCTTTTAATTCTTTGTTTTGTAACTAGACACGTTTTACGGGCTTTTAATTGTGGTTTGCTTTGTTTATTTTTGAGTTGGTATTTTTGGTTTGTCTTTAATGCGTTGCTAGTTGTTCAGTACTCATGAATAACACTATAAAAATAACCCTTAGGGTTCAACTTTATGGAGGCAAGTTCATTAAGCAGGGAAACAGTTTTGAATTTCCAGGATATTTCAGTAAAATTTAGGTGAAGAAGACGCTATCAGTGACACTCATTGCCATTGCCACTTGTCTATTTAGAGATTTTAATATGGCTAAACATCCTTGCCAAAGAAAGTTACCAAGGTTACTCAGTAGCAGGCTTTTAGAGGGGATACTCTGACCTCTTATGCAATAAAGCTTGAACTCAGACTCCTGAAGCTGCTGTTGAGTATAAGCAATATTAAAAATACTTGGTAACATGTGAATCTCTCATACTGCTGTTACCAGAAAAAGCTCTATCACATTATTAAGAACTATTATGGTACTATTTAAGCTCTTGGATGAAGATTTGGGGATCTTAGAGGACCTGAGGAAGGAGAAGACAACTTTTTGTGCTCACCAAGCTGTACTCCATGGCTGATCTCATTGTGTATCTTTGGGGCAGGAGCCTGGAGGAGACTCCAGCCCCAGTGAGATTAGGGAGCAATGCGGCGTGGGAGACAGGTCTCTAGTGTGCACCCATCCATGCCTGATGCCTCTCAGGAACCTCCTTGGAAGGCAACAGGCAGCCCCAAACAGGGGTGCAGGGACTGACAGCAGTGCTGAAGTTGGGCTGAAGGAGACACCATAAAAGAAAGCACAGGACTGACTAACACTTTTAGAGTCTGCCTTCATTAGCATCTGTGGCTCTCTGGTAGACTTTTTTGGTTTTTAATAGTTTGGTATCACCAGCAGCTTTGACATGTGACATCAACATGGTATCAGTATATCACCCACCTCTAATACACTTACATAGTAGCTGAGTTTATAAATGAGTAGTTAGACATTGCTCAAGTCTAACTTAACTCTCACTGCTGCCATAGCTCTGGAAAAATATTCAATGTCTTACTTTTGCCATGCAGCAGACTTCCTTATTTGAGAGTGGAAAATCTGTGCTTCTAAGTCTTGAAACAAGTCTTTTTATTATTACTCTTCCTATTTTTATATTTTTGTTAATGCCACTATTATTGTCACGTTTTAACAGCAACAGCATACACTTAAGTTATATACATACCTATTGCAACGTACATACTTCAGTCACTCTTTTTTAATTGTCCTAAGAGGTATGTTTTCTCTCAAACACTTGAATTTAGTCATATTTGGCATTTTATAGCCATTTTATAGTAATTAACATAGTAATAGCCTCATTGTTTGAATCTGTGAATCAAATGCATTCAGGAACTGCAAATTGACTTTATTGCAATTTTTGTCTTTAATGTTCTTTGTGACTCTGCTGACATTACTCCATCTCAGCTCCTGGTTAGTCAGTTATTGATTTTCTATCCATTAACCAGGTAGCTGTATGCCATTAACTGCTGCATTTTTGCAGATTTTCTAAAGAATTCTGTTTAACCAGTGAAAATATTATTGATCAAAGTTGGAGTATAAATTGCAGTGTTGTTTGAGTCCATCAGCTCCCTGTTACTAAGTTTGACAGATATGCCATGAATGGCTGCAGAGAGCATGTGAGCTGTAGCATTGCTAAGTTAATGCAAGCACTATTTAAAAGATGGAGACCAAGGGTTTGTGGCTTTGAAGCAAAAGGCTTAAAGGTTTTTTTTTCCTGTTAACAATGGTGTCCTACAGCTGTAAATTCATGTGGTTATAGCCCTGTGTTCGCTCAGCAGGATGGTGCAAAAGAAATTTAGGCTGAGGGACTTCAAAAAAGCTGTCTTCAAGTGTTAAAGGGTTGGGTGGAACTGGGCTCTCTGAAGCACTCTGTTTGCTGCCAAGGGTGCATATTGCAAAATACACAATAAAAGAAATAAGGGTTTCTGGTCCTGTCTGTGTCTGTGGGCACAGCAGTGGGCTGTGTTGCTCCAGGGCTCATCTGTGGTGTGACCAAGGGTGGCTGTAGCTCTGAGTGCTCACCAGGATCATTTCTGTCCCAGCTCCTGCACCAGTGGCTTTCCACTCTCCCCAGGGCAGAGCAGCCTGTCCACCTCTTTCAAACAAGCCAGTGGTGATGGCTTGAGGACAGGACTGATGGCATGGACCTTGGCTTGTCCCCTTGCTGCCC